CACCACATCCATGTTGGAAATTTTGGTGTTAAGGTCAGCATATGCCATGATCACTTGGGAGGACTGAGCTCAGAGACCTTGATAATTGGCAGATCTCATCACGCTGGTCAAAGGAATTCTTCTTCAAAGAATTGCCTGCAGGGAAGAAAAGGGGGAGGTGGTGGAGGAGAGACCCTGGAGGCAGGGAATAAGCCTGAGTCGTGATGAGCTGGCAGATGCTGCTAGATCAATGGATGTACCATAGCAAGGAAACCAGACACAAATCCATTGCTGTTGGCTGGTGTTTGTGAGGGTGGCATCATTCAATCTTGATAGCAAACAAATAAGTAGGGTGTGTGGAAGTTCATTGGGATATCTAGCTCCCAATTTGGGAGCTGAGTCCCTTTGAACACAGTGAGACTTACTCCTGAGTAAATATGCCTAAAGTCAGACTAAATGACTGTTTAGGTCATTTCTGTCTAGCAAAACCAGTCTCTACTGAGATCAATCTATCTGCACAAAGGTCAGATGTAGCTGCTCTGGTCCATGGTGATAAAAACAGGAACCAAGATGCCATGGGTCAGCCAAGAACTATTTCCTCCCCAACTTTCTATTTATACTTGATGTAAAGGGACACTGTGGCCTGCCTTATTAATTAACGCAGGCATGGTGTAGCTTCTGTTTTCCTAGGCATTTGCAACAGGATATTCTGAAAGAGAAAGGGAATGGAACAAAGACTTTCTGAACAACATTAAGCTTCAGTGGGATACAGAAAGAAGTGGGATTTTTTCATGGAAACTTGGAAAGGTTGCTTTTTGGACTATATTCCCAGAAGCCACTAGATATGTAAGCTGGGAACTTCTGGGATCTGTACACCAAAAAGTAACTTTTCTGAGTTCTGACCTAAATGCAACAGTGCCTGCTGATGCATTGCCTAGAAAGATAGAAGCAGATATCCTTTGCTATTAGATGATTTATTTATTTATTTATTTTTAAGATATTTGTATCCCACCTTTCTCCACATGCTGACCTAAGGCGGCTTACAACATGTAAACACACAATCCAAACATTAAAATATAGATATAAAGGTGAAAACAAGGTAAAGGCATATATTTAATAAAATCAATTATTGCCTTCCCCGAACAAGCACCCCCTATATACAGACATTAAAACAGCGTTTCTCAACCTGGGGGTCAGCACCCCTGGGAGGGTCGTGAGGGGGCATCAGAGGGGTCACCAAAGACCATCAGAAAACACAGTATTTTCTGTTGGTCAAGGGGGTTCTGTGTGTCAAGTTTGGCCCAATTCTATCATTGGTGGAGTTCAGAAAACTCTTTGATTGTACACAAACTATAAATCCCAGTAATTACAAATCCCAAAGGTCAATGTCTATTTCCCCCAAACTCCACCAGTGTTCACATTTGGGAATATGGAGTATTCGTGACAAGTTTGGTCCAGATCCACCATTGTTTGAGTCCACAATACTCTCTGGATGTAGGTGAACTACAACTCCAAAAGTCAAGGTCAATGCCCACCAAACCCTGCCAGTATTTTCTCTTGTTCATGGGAGTAATGTGTGCCAAATTTTGTTCAATTCCATCATTGGTTGAGTTCAGGATGCTCTTTAATTGTAGCTGAACTACAACTCCCAAATGACAAATGACTCCCCCCAACCCCACCAGTATTCAGATTTGGGTGTATCGGACATTTGTGCCCAGATTGATCCAGTGAATGAAAATACACCCTGCATATCAGATGTTTACATTGCAATTCATAACAAAAGCAAAATTACAGTTTGAAATAGCAACGAAAGTAATTTTATGGTCGGGGGTCACCACACGAGGAACTGTATTAAGGGTCGCAGCATTAGAAAGGTTGAGAACCACTGCATTAAAACTTAAAACTCCACCCCATCCTAGTGACTCAACTAAAAGCCTTCTTAAATAGAAAGTTCTTGATTCCTTTCCGGAAGCTTAATAGGCAGCTCTTAATTCTTCTGGGAGGGAATTCCAAAGTGCTGGTGCTGCTCCTGAGAAGGATCCTTCTATGGTTCTACGTAAGCACATGACTTAACTTGTTGGAAAGGGCGCAAGTAGCAATGAGGGTCTCTCCGCTAGATCACAGCACTCAGCTTGGAGTGTATAGGGGGGCATATAGGGGGACACGGAGTTCCTGGTAGGCTACACCAAAGTCGTGTAGGTATTTATAGGTAAGGGCCAGCGTCTTCAACTGGATTCAGAAATGAATACACAGCCAGTGGAGCTGTCTCAGGAGTGGTGTATTATGCTCCCTTCGATCAGCTCCTGTTAGAAGTCTGGCTGCAGATCTTTGTACAAATTGTAATTTCCAAACGGTTTTCAAGGGCAGACCTACATAGAGCATGTTGCAATAGTCCAATCTGGATGTAACCATTGTGTGTACCACTGTGGCCAGGTCCGATCTCTCCAGAAATGGGTGCACAAGCTTTAATTGTGTGAAGATAAGAACAATTGTTTTCCTTGAGGCGGAAGGCATTTGGATTTCCCCCCCTACTTCAATACAAATATACCAGAAGTCTCTCAGATATATCTGTTTTTCATGTGATTGCTAATGCTCCTTCTTCCACCTAAAACAAGAACATGAAGGACAAGGAAAAGCCCTCTCTTAACAGAAAGGACTGGGTGTTTTATTGTTGCTGTTGTTTTAAAGTTACCTTGACATTGATCACAGGCATCTGCAAAGTGGTTTCTAAAGCTTCCATCAGGATGGCCAGATTCCAGTTTTAAAAGCAAGGTGCAGTTCGGAGCCCATTGTGTCTGAAACAAGGTCCATCAATTATATTCCACAGTGCTGTCATCTTGCAGGGATGATCCTTGAAAGGATAGGAAAACATTTCAAACAAGAAGGCATCTGGCAGCCTGAGTTCACAAGACAAAACTGTAGCGGTAGTGATGGAGTGGTGAAAAAGATAAAGGGGACTGGCAGCATTTCATCAAGTCAGTCTCATTTAACAACATGGACTGTTCTTCTAGATGATAACACAACATGATGGGAACCTAACATGGTATCATGTGTTTGTACAACAAATGCACCTAAGAGACTGATCAATTGTCATTACTAATCAATTGTGGAGCCCCTGGTTGTGCAATGTTTTAAACCCTTGTGTAGGCAGGACTGCTGAACAAAAAGTCAGCAGTTTGAATCCAGGGAGCAGGGTGACTCCTGTTTGTCAGCTCCACCTTCCCATGCAGCGATATGAGAGAAGCCTCCCACAGGATGGTAAAATATCCAGATGACCCCTGGGCAAGGTCCTTGCAGATGGTCAATTCTCTCACACTAGAAGCGACTTGCAGTTTCTCAAGTAAAAAAAAATTACATATGTATGCCTATATCATGGATATCAAACAGCATGTATTTCTAATTTCTATGTATGGTTGCAAAAACTAGACAATGAGAAAAGCTGATGAGGGTGAATGGGATAACTGATTTGAAATGTGGTGCTGGAGAAGAGTTTTGTGGATTCTATTGCCTGCTCAAAAGACAAATAAATGGGTCCAAGAGTAACTGAAGTCTGAATCCTCCTCAGAAACTGGGACTGCTCTATACTTTGGACATATCATGAGATGCCATGACTTAAGGTAGAAGGCATTGGGAAAATATAAAAGTCGTATTATTGAGGGATTTGACTCAGTCAAGGAAACCACAGCCCTGCCTCTGCAAGACCAGAGCAGAGCTGTTGATAACAGGGTGACTTAGAGGTCTTTTATTCATAGGGTGCTATAAGTCAAACTTGATAGCAGTTAAGAACAAACATAACAACAAATGGGCAGATTACAATTTCTCCTCTCCCAAACTCCATACATCCAGTTTTTGATCCTAAGTATCCAAAGGCCATGTGTGTAACTATGGACAGGGTGCAAGTATGGACATTTCCCCTCCATTTTTAAGCACCGGAGAGACTGAAATACTGAAAATTATTCAAAATTAAAACTCTTAACATTGGCTGTGTTTGGAAATTCCCTTGGCAGTTTTTTCTCCCCTTTTTATTTTGTATTTCTAAATGTTCCACTGAAATTCAAAATGATTGCAATCCTAGAGGATTGAGCATTAAAGGAAACATTCATTGAGGAAGCAGAATTTGTAAGGAGAGGGAAAATTCCCTCCTTCCTCATCATAGCTACATGCCTGCCAATGGCCTATTCTGGAATATTCTGTGCATGTCATTGGAAAGAGGACAGAACTTTTGGGGAAGCTTTTTAATTCTATCCATTCTCCCCGCAAACTTTACAGGGCACCCTTGACTCTTCTCTAAGCCCCGGGAAAGCCAAATGTTGGCTGTGGGCCAGGGATAGAGAGGGTTAAACACAAGCGAGAGCAGGCGCTCCAACACAGTTAATCCATATAAAGCTCATGGATTTCTACTCAGTGATCTTTGTGTTGTCATTTGCATTCCCCCCCTTTCCTTTTTTTGTGTGAAATCTTTTCTTCTTTCCCTTTTTCAACACTTGGGCCTGCATGGGGAAATTAGCATATTGTACCGAGAGCAGGAGATGTAAGAAGCCAACCCCCTGCTGTTCGGCGGATTGTGCAATCTGCAGGCGGCATCAATTTTTCAGCAGTTTTCTCATTTCTCATTACAGTCAGGGCACCGCACAGCTCCCGATTCGACACAATCCCTAGTGGTCCTGCAGACAAGCATATGGGCTGTCAAAGCGCTATCCCAATACTTTCAGAGAATTAATACCCTTGTTTATGCCTTCCGCCATAATTAATCAGGGTATTAATACAGCCTGGGCTTAGCTCTGCTAATTATATAGGGTACAGTGGGATAATTATGTCAGCATGCTCCAACACTAATACTTGACAGCAATTTAGCAATCTTAGGAGAGACACATTAACCCTCTGGCCAATCTTGCCATGTAAACAAGGGTGTTGAGGTGTGGGGGGAGAGAGAGAGACAGAATGAGAGCAGAACTAAGTCTGGGGGCTACAGCTCAGAACCAGAAAGTCCTTAAGTCAGAGTCCTTGACTGTAAGCCAATTTCAGGAGCGTCGGCCGAGAACACGGCAGCTAAGTCGGCTTAAATCCATAGGCGCTGCCTCGAAGGTGCAGCCGCCGGTCTCATATTTTGGCTGCGGCACAATAAAGTTGTTCCGGGGTGTCAAATCCTGCGGTTGTCATAGCAATGTGTGCATTATTAAGAGGGTGTTGCTCGCTCTGCTGGCTAATCTTATAATGATGATGTCTCATTATCAAACCAGAGGTCCCCACAGCCTGGCTTCCCAGTTCCACTCGCCAACTCTCCCCCTACACATTTATTTAATAGGGCTATTGTTAGTTGTTTTCTCTCCAGTTCCAAATAAACTTTTGAAGGTTAAATGTGGCAAAGTAAGGATCTACATACCCTAAAAGCATCAGCTGTCATCTGATTTTGGAAGCTAAGCAGGGTAATCTCTGATTACTATTTGGATGGAAAATTGTCAACAAATACTAGGTGCTGCAAGCTATATTTCAGAGGAAGAAATTGGCAAAACTACTTCCGAATATTATTCGCCTAAGAAAACCCTGTGAAAGTCAACAGCAGACTTGAAAGCACATACACGCATGTACACAATAAACCTTGCAAAAGAATGGTCTTCCCAAACAATCTTTATGAACTTTTGTTGTCTTTTTATCTGTATATTACCTTTAACACACACACATACATAAACAGTAACACAAACCTCTCCACCTCCACACCCATACCACAAAACACCTTGGCTATCTAGCATCTTAAGTTGGATAAGCTTTGTAAACAAAAATGCGCATCCCTTCCGAATGCATTTCCATCATCTCCATAAAGAGACTTCCATATTTTGGTTTAATTGAACTTCCTTTGCTTATCATTAGCCAGTTTATATTTTTATATAAAACTATTAACCAGGAGATTGGCTTGCTTTTAATTCTATGCGGAGGTTTGTTCCAATTGTTATGCCTCCCACTCCCCCGCCACTTTCCCAGACAATCCAATTATCACAGCTTGTCACACAAAGACGGATGGTCCACTTTCACAATTTGTACTGCTGGCTTCACTTGAGAGAGAGATTGTGCATAAGGTCATTTTAAAAAAAACAACAACAAACTTCAACACTGTGGTCATGTGAATATGGGTTTGTGAGGAAAGAGCCCCTAGGTCGGTTTTAATTTTGTTTTAATTAAGCTCTTTGTTTTGTTCACTGCTTGGCAAACAAAATTTAAAACGCACACACACGACTCAGCAAGAGCAGCTAAACTTGAAATCTGCTGTGAAATTGTGTTGTTTGAAGATCTGGGATTTGAAAATGGTTTAAATAATGCAGTTGTTTTGTTTTGGACATGAGATTGCTATCTGGGAGGAAATACGCCACTTTCTAGTGCTATTGAGCAAGGGACAGTGCAGCTTACCTAGGAGCAATCCAGGCAACGCTTATCATGCTGTGGTGTTCTAGAGCATTTCCCCATTTTCACCCAGGATATGTGCTCTGGCACCACAAGATGTAGAGCCAACTTTAAGAAATGGGCCTACAAAGTGGAGCCAATGATATGCAAGTGTGGAGAAGAGCAAGACACAGATCACTTACTACAATGCAGTCTGAGCTCCACCACATGCACAATGGAGGACCTTCTCACAGTGACACCAGAGGCACTCCAAGCGGCCAGCTTCTGGTAAAAGGAAATTGGATATAATGCCAAGTTTTAAACTTTGTGGTTTTTCAATTATAACTGTATTCTCAATTTGCTTCTGACACGATAAATAAATAAAACTCATGTCAGCAATAATTCAATAAGTTGTTCCATTATAGGACTTTTTGATTCCATTGGCCTTTTCCAGACCAGTCTGAAGAAGTCTGAATTCTTGCGGAACAGCATCTTGGTTTTTGCTTTGCCTTTACAGTTGCTGTCACCTCTGCATTCACTCGTTTTGTTCTTTCAGGGGCTGTTTATAGCAAATTCTTCTAAAACAATATTTTTTTTTAAAAAAGTAGGACTTCCTCTAATGATTATGTAATTTGAAGGACAAATTTTGACCTCCCTGGTTTTTGCTTAAAATTATATGTATCATGTTATAATGCAGAAATAACATTTCATTTTTTAAAAAGAAAATTAGATTTCCAACAAGTAATGAAACAGAAATCTCATCTATAGTGCTGTAATGCATCAATGCCACTGCATTGACACAATAACTCTACGTTTTTGTAAGCAGGGAAAGGAGGAAGAGTTCATTTTTGTTCTAAAATGTTTTGGAATTAAAATGAAACCCACCTCTTAGCAGTAATACAATGTTTTAGTTGGTATCATGAACTGCCATAGGGCCACTAAAATGTCATACATCACCAAAGACTACAGAGCCCCCGGTGGCGCAGTGGGTTAAAGCCCTGTGCTGGCAGGACTGAAGACTGACAGGTCGCAGGTTCGAATCCGGGGAGAGGCGGATGAGCTCCCTCTATCAGCTCCAGCTCTTCATGCGGGGACATGAGAGAAGCCTCCCACAAGGATGATAAAAAAAAACACCAAATCATCCAGGCGTCCCCTGGGCAACGTCCTTGCAGACGGCCAATTCTCTCACACCAGGAGTCACTCCTGACACGACAAAAACAAAAAAAACAAAAAAAAAAACCCCCCAAAAAAACCAAAGACTACAACTTCCAGAAACCTACCAACAGATTTCCTCTGTTTGGAGTAGCTCAGTTGGGGTATGGATCTTCTCCCGTTTAGTTTAGCTTGTGGTGGTGGGGTGTCTAGTGATGGATCTATTACTAACCACAGGACTATAAGCTGGCCATTCTTCCCATCTGTCCCATATTTTTTCATGTCTGAGTTCCAGATTCTTCTGCCACCAAACAGATGGTACTGTTTTATAGTAATACACACACTTCTTGGGGTTATACTATTTCCAGGGTTTAACCTGAATTCTGACTGTCATCCAGCTCCCTTGCCCCAAGTAGAGAGAGCTTAAAATAAAGATTTCCTCCATTCTATGGATCTATCTTCCTCCTGTTGGAGGAAAATTCTGAGAGTGTGTTGGACTGCAAGAAGATCAAACCAGTCCATACTCTAGGAAATAAAACCCAACTGCTCACTGGAGTGAAGGATATTAGAGGCAAAGATGAAGTACTTTGGCCACATAATGAGAAGACAGGAAAGCCCGGAGAAGATAATGATGCTGGGGGAAATGGAAGGAAAAAAGGAAGCAGGGTCGAACAAGGACAAGATGGATGGATGGTATCCTTGAAGTGACTGGCTTGACCTTGAAGGACTGCGGGTGGCGACAGCTGACAGGGAGCTCTAGCATGGGCTGGTCCATGAGGTCATGAGGAGTTGGAAGCAACTGAACGAATAAACAACAACAACATGGATCTATCTACACTCAGACTTTCCATGACCTTTTGTTTCAAATTAACCTGCATATATCTCCTTCCACCTTCAAATGTTTTTTGAGATAACTTGTTTCTTGTGTTTCAATTCTCTACCCCCTTCAAACCCCACATTAATGTCTCATCCCTGTTCTTTTTAGAAGGTTGTGCTTGGCTTGTCTGTGGACAGGTTTTTCTTGATCTCCATACTTTCCCTTCCTCCAGTTCTTTCTCCTCCTTCCCCCACTGGTTGCATTTCAGATCCAGGCTTGGGTCTTAAGCTGCAATGAAGAAAGATACCCCTCTTGCAAACATCACTGAAAACCACATTATGAGAAGGCTGCCTCAGGAGCTGAAAGAGAGATTGCCGACAGAAGAATAGTAAATTGATTTAAAGTGCCACTCCTGTATCTGCAGAAGAAAACATTTCTGAACTTACCACGGAAACAGAAATCTGTGGATAATAACCAACGTTATGTAAATGAATGGCTTCCAATGGAAATCACCAGACAGTCAGCTGGCAGGCCTAGAAAATTCCTCGAGAGGTATCCTCTCTCAGAATTTGCTAGATCCTCCAATGCAAGTCTGTAGTAACTTAAGGTGGATGCATACAATAGAATTGCCTGGAAAATTGCAAGATAAGACATATCATGTTGGGTGTGTGTAGATGAAATCACAGGTCCTGGTGTCAGAGGTACGAGGGTTGTACTGTATTTAATTTACAGTGTTCAAATAAACTAATCCTGGAAGCTAGTTCATTTTGTGTCTTTTATACTCAGAACTGTTAAAAAATATTTACAGATAAGCCAAACATCATATGGATCTAAGCAATTACAACAACAAAAGGAGTTTCCCATCTCCTTTCATCCCAGAAAGATGGAAAATGTTAACATCTTTTTTCCACCAGTTCAGGAACTGATCTCTCAAAGGCAATTCACAATGCATCCCGGATATATGTAAGCAGTAGCTGATTTTTAAAAGGTGCCCTATAATGTGGGTATAATGTTATATTTTCTCCAACTGCCTTTTTCCTCTCAAGACATGTACTGACTGGGTGGAATGGCAAATAGGGTGCCCCCCTCCACAGACACACATCAAGGTTCACAGTACTCAAGGAAAGAGAAAGGTAGAAAGCAATGAACAGGTCTATAGGTATAACTATGCTAGAGATATTCAAATGTCTCATGTTGGGCAAAAACAAAACAATTTCAAAACAGTAATTTCAATAAATTGGTTTATATCCAAAATTGTTAGCCTTGAGGAAAGACTTCTGTTTTGGCATCTTTAAACAGATGATATATCCTTACTTATTGCCACAGAAAAAGACATGTTTCTTGAAATGTATCTTGCCATGGGTATATGAAATTAAATACTTGTTTATAAAGCAAACTAGAGAAGATAGACTGTTGATTTTGTAATTGTGCAGCTGTTTCGGTTTGTTTGCTTTTTGAGAAGCATGTTTAATTCAAATAATTATTTTAGAAGTTGTTCGTTGGTATTGGCAATACATTTTTAATTTCTTTACATTTGTTATACATGAGTGTGTATTTGTTTTCATTGCTTTCCCTCTCTTCTTTGTGTTGTTGGTGTGTAACTTTAGGGCCTAGAATTATTCCTGATTTATTCCATAATACACAAAGCTAGAACCAGCCAAGTTATTTGGGCACATAATGTAGAAAGTCTCGTACTCATGTCTTCCCATACATAGCAATACAATACATTAATAGAAAAATAAATACATATCATTGTTGCCCTTCTATGATAACTAAACTCTGCTAATTGTATGGCCAATCCTCTCCTTGCCCTAAAAATCAAATATTTAGAATCATTAAATCATAGAATAGGAAAAATCACAAGGGCCATCCAGCTCCACTCCCATCCTACAGATAGCCATTCAGGTTCTGTTTCAACAACCTCTAGAGAAGTTGTTGTAGTACAGCGTGCTGATCAAGCTACTACTAGTAGTAGAAGGGGAAGGAGGGCTGCTAAGGTGCTGGATCAAGAGCAGCAAAGGAAGCGAATTAGGGAGATATTCATGACACCTACAGATACTGAGTCGTTCGAAGGTTTTACAGACTCTGAGATGGAGGAGGAGGGAGATGGGAGTAGAGGCTTGAAACGGGTTACTCGGGAGCAAGAGTCAGATGAAGAGAGGGAAAGGAAGCGGATCTGTGAAATACTTAATGCTCCAACTGAGGAAGAAGACTTTATGGGGTTCACGGGGAGTGATGGGACTGAGAGTGATAATGGTGAGGAGGATGGGCTAGACTGGACCCGTGTACAAGAGATCAGGGACATATGTACTCAACCCACCTCAAGTGAGGAGTTGGAGGGGTTCTTGGGAGATTGGCAACCTGGAAATACTTGGGTGATCTAAGTCTTGATATATGCTGGAAGAGCTGGAGGGATGGGCGGTGGTGAGCAGCTGTGGAAGCAAAAGCACCTGAGAGCGATGACGACAGGGTGGAGTCCAGCTCCACCTCTGATGAGGAGTTATAGGATAAAAGAAAGGTATCAAACTATTGGAACTTTGCAGCAGGTAAAGTGTTGTATTGGGCTTGGGACTTTGTTGCTGCCTTTACTGTCGCCTTGGGTCCTGGGACTGCAGATCATTGTGCTTCCGTGTTTCTACTGACTGGAATCCTGTAAGTGCTGACTTCTACTCCTTGCTAACTTCGGATTGTTTTTGAACGACGACATTGCGTTTTGGACTTAACTTCTGCTTTTGGATATGCCTCGACCCTGGACTGTTTCCTAACTACGTTTTTGCTTGCTCCCATCTTGTTACCTTGTGCTTTGTGAACTCTGAATTTTTGAAGCAGTTTGCTTAAAGTTTTTGTTATACCGGATTATATCTCTGTATAATCCGGATTATTCTCCAAGTTGCGTTTTTTGCTTAGCAGTTGCTGAAGACTTTATTTTATTGCTAGACTCACTGAATTCAAGTGTTTCTAAGCTATTTTTGTTGTTAATAAACCTTGTTTGCACGCTTTCTACTTGTGTTTGGCTCCTTTAAGGCTTCTGCTTCATGACAGAAGTATACTCCGCCACACTTTGAAATAGCCTGTTTTACCTATCCTCAGGAAGTTCTTCTAATGTTTAGATGGAATATTTTTTCCCTTGCAACTTAAATCCATTGCTCTGTGTTCTGGCCTCTAGAAAATGAGCTTGCTCCCTCTTCAATAAGGTATCTGTAGTGCACACCCAGGAAATACAGGCAGAAATCTTCAGGGGGGGGGGATTTTATTATCCCACCACTGCCACTGCTAAATATGTAGCAAACACCCCAATTAATATGTAGCATTGCCACCACTTAATATGTAGCACTGCCACCAATTAATATGAAACTACCACCTGTCGGGACGCAATAATGACCAGGCGGGAGACAGGGTGTAGAAGTGAATGATGATGGGTTTTTTATTGTTGCCCAAGCAAAGCTTATATGGGTTCTGGTGCTCTTCAGCAAAGGTCTGCATAGCAACAGTGGGGGATTACATAATTGCCAAGTGATTGGTTGGACTCTCAAGGGTGAGGTAATCTACAGGTGAGGTCAGCTATAGGTGATGTCATCCTTCCTGCCCTCAAGGGTAATGTCCATACATGGTCAGTGGGGTAGGAACAGTGTATGCATCTGGGGAGTACGGTTTGCCGATGCTTTCCAGTGGCATAACTGGTTTTTATTGGTTTCCTACAACCACCAATTGAAACTATATATAGAACAACCAGAGCTGTTGCGGAAGATCTTTGAAATGTAGTTGTGAGTGAGCAATTTATCTATTCTTTATTTTGGTCTGTAAGTCGGAGTGAGGCCACAAATGCTGATGTAAGTTTTAAAACTTTTATGTCTTTACCTGAGATACTTTAGAAAGGAGTAACTCATTACCCCAACCAGAATCCTTTTTTCTCTCCAATATCTTCAGCTGCCTTCTTCTGAGGTAAATCTTCTCCTCAATAACTGGACATAAGTCTTTATTATAAAGAACTGAACAAGGGAATGTTTATTCAAGGATTCACAGGTGTACAAAGCCTGATAGCTACTCAGTATTCCTTTAAATGTTGTTACAGTTGGCTTTATTTAACACAAATACTTGTAACAGTCTCCAGTATAACTCTCAGTATGGCTTTTACTTCTACCAGACTGGTTTTAAACTTATTTCATTTCAAAGTATCTTTCCTTTCCTTTCCTGACATTCAAGGCACTGGCTTGCCCTTTTCTCCCCTCAGCTGTCTCCACTGAAGTTATGGATTACTACTGGAGTTTCCTTCCCCTCAACTCAACCAGTTAATTACTAATTTAAACAGGTCCAATTGACCCTTTAAACCAGGGGTCCTCAAACTAAGGCCCGGGGGCCGGATACAGCCCTCCAAGGTCATTTACCCGTCCCTCACTCACTCTGAAACGACTTTAAAGCACACAACAACAACAACAACAATAACAACCCTATCTCATCAGCCAAAAGCAGGCCTGCACTTCCCATTAAAATACTAATAAGTTTATATTCGTTAAAATTGTTCTTCATTTTAATTATTGTATTGATTTTAAGGAGTTTTTTGCACTACAAATAAGATTCGTGCAGTGTACATGGGATTTCATTCATGCTTCTTTTTCAAATTATAATCTGGCCCTCCAACAGTTTGAAGCACTGTGACCTGGCCCTCTGTTTAAAAAGTTTGAGGACCCCTGCTCTAAACAAACAGGCTGAAGACTTAAATCCCTTGGTTCGGTTTCTCAACACACCAGAACCAACCTTCCACTTTGGCTCACTGATCAAAGATTGAATTTTTTAAAATGTCTGCTCCTCACTATTGGCAGTTAGCTCCGCCCACTTTGGTTTTTCCCTGGCCAGATATGGATACAAATCTAATGCAAGCTACGTCACTATGGCAACTCAGCTAGCAAGCAGCTACAGTATAACCTGGCCTACTTGCAATATATATCTAGTTAATAAACGTTTGCAAAAAACTCATATTATAATTAAGTAATTTGTTACAGCATCCTTTCCAATATCATGTCCCATCTCAGATGTCTTTTCTCCAAGCTACACATACTCAGCTCCATAATGATGATTGGGATGAGTTGGGCAATGCAGGGCATGGGGTAAGAGGTTCACCATGCCCCCAGATTGGCACGTTTGATGAGGCCACAAGCTTGACTTCCAAACCTTTGATCACCCTTCTCTATACACATTCTGACTTGTCAATATCCTCTTGAATTGTGGTGCCCAGAACTCGATGACATCTGAACAAAATAGAATAAAGTGGTACTATTATTTCTTCTTCTTCTTCTTCTTCTTC